ACTCCTGTTAATAACACGCAATGAAGTTATATCATCGGCAATGACAGCCATGTCAGATTTATTTTGTTCGAACCCTGCAGATATAAACTGCTGACTATTTTCAACGACCTCAACTCGTTTCACAAGACCATCAACAATTGATCCCATTTTTGTCAACTTAGAGTCAATGCTTATAACTGATGACTTTATTTCATCAACCGAATTCATTCTCAATGTAAGATTATCAATTTTATTTATCAGGTCGGACATCCATGGGGGTGGACTGCTGAGCGCTGTAGGAGGAGGAGGGTACAAAGTCATTCCGGTCATTCATTTTGGTTGCGGCTTTGTTATCATTCTTTTATGTTCCATTAGGTCTGTTAAATAAGTTTACCATACACTGACCATAATAGACCAACCAACTAACACTGGAAACATCTTAAATAACATTTTTAGAGATGCCAAACATACATGTCCATACAGTCCAGGGGGACATAACTCAACAAGTCTGTTTTTATACTTACATAGTGCTTTCTAAGTTATTTTGTTATTTTCATTTAGTTAAAATTCTTAAAGTTAATTACAAAATGTTCTCTTATAATCTACTTGAGAAAAAAGATTTTAGCAGTTGTTTATTCTGGAATTTGTCACTTCATATTTCTCTTTGTAAATGATATTTTTTATCAAAATATTACATAATTAAATTATATTTTATATACTAAGTGTTGACTGATTTTAACCCCAAGCCAAATTGACACGATAGTACATGTAATTATAATAAAGTCTATTGTACTGTTCAGAAATAGCAAGTTGTTGTGTAGTTAAAGTTTTATAAGTTCTATGCCACATCCCTTTTTACCCAAAATATCAGGGTATCTACTTTACTTTTATTTGAAAACTTGAAGCTATATTACTTATAGGATTTTTGCAAGTTAACAATTTCAGATCAAATTGTTGTTTTTTTCTATCTATAAGTGTAAATAAATGTAAATATGTTTTAGAAAAGAAAGGTTCATTTATTCTTCCCAAAGTTTCTGTACTCAATTATATTATCAAACGCGTAATAGAATTTTGTTTTACGCTCATATGTTGGAAACGGAAATTTTACTTATCGCTTGTTCATACTTTATAAGATTTAAGATCATGCTCGCAAGGGTAAGATTTTAATATTTAAAAAGTTTTTCATGCATAATTTCTACATGTGTAGGTTTTAATAATACGTAATTGTTTATTGTAAACAAGTTTTGTCGTGTAGGAATATGTCACTATAACGAGTCATGAATTTTGGTTAAATAAAGGCAACAGTATTATACCGCTGTTCGAAATTCATAAATCGATTGAGAAAAAAACAAATCCGGGTAACAAACTAAAACAGAGGGAAACACATTAAATATAAAAGGAGAACTACGACACAACAGAAACACAACATTAAAATGTAAGACACACAGAATGGAACTATAATATAACAATGGCCATTTTCCTGACTTGGTACAGGACATTTTAAGAAAAAAATGGTGGGTTGAACCTGGTTTTATGGCTAGCCAAACCTCGCACTTTTATGGCAATGTTAAATATAACACTAAAATGACACTATTACATGACATGAATACAGTACAACATTACGGACAAAGAATTACGCAAATAATCAATACAATATAGTACATTTGGACAACGAAACAACAGAAACACTGAAGTGAACAAACAACAAACGACAATGCAACACACACAGAAACAAACTATACGATAACAATTGCCATTTTCCTGACTTGGTACAGGAAAAAAATGTAAAGTTGAACCTGGTTTTGTGGCTAGCCAAACCTCCCGCTTTTATGGCAATGTTAAATATAACATTAAAATGAAAACATTACATGACAGGACTACCATACAAATAAATGGGAGAACATATAGGACAGAGAAACATACGAATAATAGCTAACAAAAGGTACGAGGTTTAAAATTTAATACGCAAGACGCGCGTTTCGTCCACACAAGACTAACCAGTGACGCTCAGATCAAAAAAGTTCGAAAGCCAAAACAAGTACAAAGTTGAAGAGCATTGAGGACCAAAAGATCCAAAAAGTTGTGCCTAATACGGCTAAGGTTTTCTGTTTGGGATAAGAACATCCTTATTATTTAGAATAGTTCATACTTTTGCAAACAGTAAATTTATAAAAATGACTATATAATAGATATACATGATAACATCGAAGTGGTGACTAACTACAGAATAAAAACGGATACATAAAACAACATAAACCAGCACATAGAAATTCACAGCCGAGTTAGCCAAAGAGATCAACGCACAAAGTGACGTCACATTTGAATTTCTAAACATTAACTTTTTGGTTAAAAGCAAGCATTTATGTTTTAATCTAGTTTCCCTATATTATATGATAAAGTTTTATTTATACCTTTATTTGTCAATTGCCTTTAGTTTTCGTAAATCTAGGTATGTTCCAATCGCAATCATTCATATTTTTAATATACAGAGTAAATTCCCCTTTTCGATATTGTTATAGAAACTATTTTTGTCAACCAATACTTATTTTCTGAATTGATTATTTTGGGTAAAAAAGTTTAAATTAAGTTTTCAAGATTTGCTTACCATTTTAAATTAGCTCTACCATATTTATTAGAAAAAAAGATTAAAGTATTCAATGATTCAGTATGCTGTTTAGCACACGCTTTATGCTCAAGTATGATCAAATATTAGATATTGCATTATGCTCATACGCTAAAGATTTTGTTCGCATCTTGCTAATATATTTGAATTCTATTTTTTATATGATTTATGATAAGCATATATGTTCATTTGTAATATGCATATGCTCATGCAATAAAGTAAAGTTTGTTTAATGCTCAATTAAGTTGTGAAATTATATTAACAACATATTTCTATTATTTGCATTGTTTACTATATTATTGTATTTGATTATAATATTATTGATATGACTTTCATATGCGCTTTTAAAGAAAGAAGACATTAAAACAACTTCAATCTGTTTTCAGGCCCTTGTTCATCCCCCTTTTGACCGCAAGGAGTGATGTAGGTTAAGTCCTAGCATAGCAGTAAAGCTATAACCACAATTACACAGAAAGTCAATTCCGATATTAATAATGTCAGTTTCAGAGAATGTTTCGTTTAAATAAGAGTGATTTTATACTTAGTACGATTTATCCCTCCCTAAGACATTATCATTGTATCTACGTTGGCTATTCTTTTTTATGAAACAAAACAGTGCTTTATCTTTCAATTTGTCTTTTAGTTTTGAATGGGGGAACACTTGTGTAAGGGATAGAGAAGTCAAATGATTTAATACTATTGCAAGAAGAAAGAGACTTTGATTGTATGTACTCTAACAGATCTTTGGATTTTGTTAACATCCACATCTTGGTCACGCCACCCCTAGATCAGGTGGTTTCACAATAACTTTGAAGCCCGGCTTTGATTGCTGATCAAATCAATTGTCTATTCTATAATACGTAAGATATATTCAAGTGTTGCGCATGTTTCCCATGTGTAAAGCATCGACCTTATAACCTTATGAATAACATTTTATAGCCAAACTCGGTAAAAATGATCCGTCTTAGTTCCATCTAATTGATTAAAGTACTATATGTAACGCTTTAAATAATCAAAAATTCTCTTATGATACTGCACAATATATGAAAAGGAACAAAAACATCCATAACTATCCTTTTCAAGAAGGGATATTTCAGTTTTACACAGAAAACTTTATACAAAAATGTACTATAAAAGACACTATGTTTGTTCCTTATTATAAATTACCCTTTTTCAAACTATTTCCAAATGATTTTCACAGTTTTTTCTTATGTTGTGCTGTTACACGACAGTCCAATGTACAAGGGATGTTGAGCGCTCACAAACATGTCAGATTAGTATTCGTTTATGGTATTAACATAAATCACTCAATTGTTCTTCTCGTTTGAATTTTTTCATAACTTGTCATGTCAGGGCCTTTATATTTTTCGTCGTTTTTAGTTTTTAGTTTTTAGTTGTTTTTTTTCATAATTTTATCGGTCTGTTCGACTTAGGAGTCTCGATTCTCCCTGTGACGTATTCCGCCTCTTTTTTATTGCTGACTATGCGGAATTGGTTTTGCTCATTGTTGACGACCGTACATGTACGGTGATCTATAGTTGCTAACATCCACGTCATTTTGGCTTTGTCGTATAGTTGTTTCAATGGCAATCATACAACATCTTCTTATATCTATGAAAAAATGTACGTTATTCATAGGGGAACACACGTGATTATATAAAATTTTCCACAAACACCTTTGAGAGGTTGAATACTTAAGTACAAAGACGGGGTTGTTTTAGTAAGTTTGATAACATACTATTGTATAAACACCACATTTATAAACTCCAAAATATAAAAAACAACGCCCGACCATAAACTTGTTTGTCATAGTTGGTTGAAAAAAAACCTCATGTACACAAGTAGATGACTGGCTAAGACTAGTCTCAAGTTTGACTTCAGAAGTGTTCATAAAGTCTAACTAAGAAATGTTCGTCAAGTCAGCAATATACAGCAGAACATATAAAAACGACAGTGATTCAAAATCGAGATTCCTTAGACTATGCAGAATCAAAAAAAGCTAAGGTAAATTGCATTGTCAGTAAGCTGAACTTACTTTGTTTTTGAAATTATCACTTAGTTTTTGTGTACGATTGTGAACATATTTCTAATATAGCTTAAGATTCACGAACAATGAATTTGATATCTCTAAACTGGGAGGTCATATACCAGAAAGACCACGAGAATCTGTGATTTTGTTGCACACTTAACTTATTACGATGATCTTTAGACCTATGCATGTAATCACTTCCAAACTGAAGGCTTGGCGATAGCTCATATGAAGCCTACATGCCATCTCATATATAAAAAAGAAAAGGGGTAAATAGTATCTCTAAATGAAATCCTGATGATATTGCTCGTAATTACACTGTATTTGCATAATACATATGTATGATGATGTAAGATCGGCTATACTCACTTTTTGAAAACATAGATATAGCTACTTTGTTTATACAATTGCCTCCATGATTCTTCTCAGCCTAGAAGATACATATATGCAATATTATTCATTGATGGTTGATGTATAATCAATCAATGGTATATTATACAGGAAAAAAAAAACACAATACAAGAATTTTCTCAAAACGTTCAAAATTGATTGTTTATAATATGATATGGATAAACAGAGATTTGGATTAAACGTCAATGCGACAGCACTCCAGCAACCCAAAAAAGACATTCTGAGATTAACATTTGATATTGAGCAACAGACAAGTGTCAGTTCCATTGAATAATATTAAAATGTCCAGACTGAGACAATTGAACCAAAACTATCAAGGATCTGACACAAATTTATATGGTGACTTCTAGATATGTTGTGTTATTTATGTGTTTTCGTTAGATGAGTGTCTCGTTAATTTCATTTTTATTCATATGAAAACAACCTTCGCTATATTTCACAAAAAGTAAAATAACAAAAATACCGAACTCCAAGGAAAATTCAAAACGGAAAGTCCCTTAACAAATGACAAAATCAAAAGCTCAAACACATCTGACTTGGTACAGGCATTTCCTTATGTAGAAAATGGTGGATTTAACCTTGTTTTATAGCTAGCCAACCTCTCACTTGTGTTACAGTCGCATAGAATTCCATTATATTGACAACAATGTATGAGCAAAACAAACAGACATAATAGGTAAAAATGTCAAAAATTGAGGTACATCAGTCAACATTGTGTTATAATTTTAATCACAATAAAACAACTTTGTCAACAACATAGAAACAAATGGCATGTAGACACTCTAGACAAAGCACATAAGCAAAAAAAAAAGAAAAGAATACAAAAATGACCATAGCACAATAACACAATCGCGGGATGTATAAATACCGAGCCACGCCAAAAGGATATTACCAAAAATGGAATAAACAGTAAAGGTTCAAAATATACAAAGACAAATAAATAAAAAGAACACTATAACACGTAATTAAGATGATAAACAATGTCAGTACCTAGAATCTATACTTCAAGACCATCATGTGTTATTTGTGAAGTTGGTACGGAATATTTACCAACAAGGTCTTGGTATCTTCCGATGAACATTTTTTGAAAAAGGACGACACGTTCTTTGACATAACCCTGGTTCATCAACTTTCTGCTAAGACACTGGTGACGTTTTATAAAGTCCGAGTAGCAGCTGCAAGCTCTTCTATACCGAATGAGTTAGAAAATGTATATCCCATATGCAGGTAAAGTTGGTATATTGCCACTAAGGCGGGGGGAATTGATGATTTCAAAATTAAAATCGTCTCGTTTGTCATAGATTCTGGTATTGAGATTACCGAAAAAATGAGGCGGAGGAAGCCGTGTCTGTTGTTTCTTTAATTGTCAAGTTATTATCATATCTAATAATCTAATAAGAAATCAGAATAAGTTCAGGGTTGATCAACTAGTCTTAATCATCATGTTTGAAGAGTTTGTTTCTGTTTACTCCTTTTAATTTTAATTGAAAATACTTACGTTGCGTTCCAATGTACGACCGTACACATTTTTTCTTCTTTGTTTAGCCTCAGAATTCTCACTCAGGAAGCAAAACAATATTATAGTTGACCAAACACCAAAACCATTAATTGGCCTGCAATAAACAGTAACATTGACCTTAATAGTTACATGTAGTGTATGACTGTTGTAATTTATATTACTATGTCAGTGTTACTGGCTACTCTCTGAATTCATTACGAGTATTCACAAAAGTAGCAATAAGTAAGATAAAAAGCAACAAAGCGGATGTCCAATAATGATTATTGTTATTAATCAAGGTCATATGGACCTAAAACCGGACAAAACGATTGAATGCAGATCTGTAAGGCAAGATGCGAGATTCATAACTGAAGTTCGAATTTTAAGATTAAAAAAGGAAAATTCCATAGATATGAATTTCAAAATATAAATTTGCCAATCAGAATAAAGACGTTAGTTCTCAAATTGAGGTAGGAGATACCTTTGAAAAAGGTCAAATCCGTAAAAATAAAAAATAAGATGTGGTATGATTGCCAATGATACAACTCTCCACAAGAGACCAAATGACACAGAAATAATCAACTATAAGTTGTACAAATCCGTATAAGTATGACGACAATCATAAAATGAATAAAAAAAGAAATAAGTTAAATTTTAAGGTAAAGGTTTTACTAAAAAAAATAAAATTACTCGTATCGGAAAACAACGAAGATGGACACTTCGTTGTGTTTTTACTCTTCGTTTATGTTAATCTGCAACCTAAAAACTCTATATACGTTTCCTATCTTATGCGATTAAATAATATATCTGCGTCTAAAACTCTAGTTGGAAACAAACCCCTAGAATTGACCGTACTTGCTACCTTCTAAAGAGAACAATGGGTCACCACATTTAGTATTGATAGTGACATAATGTACGGGTAAACGTATTCAATTAACATTACATTAGGATATAGAATTACATATTCAGGAATATAAACCATTCACTTGTCAATACCTAAAAACGAACACGACAATCAATGATCAAGAGATTGTAATTTCGGCAACTAAAGATTTTTACAAAGGATTATACGTTATTAGCGCGATGGATAATGAAAATACAGACAAACAAAAAACACAACATTATACAAATTGGATATCGATAAATCCGATTAAAGCAAGAATTGAGCCTACTTGCTCAGGGAACTCGAAGTTAGCATTTGTTGTTAGGACAAAGGGATCGCAGTATACATTTAACAAATATACCAAATAAGAGTAGAATTATACAATTAGAAGCATAAACATTAAAAAACTATGTATGGCTTTCAAAGTGCACTTGACCGCGAAGCATACCTACGAAATCATGAAATAACGGGTTTCAAACCTCATTTTCGATGAGTTAATAACATCCATGATTTCCGTTGTCCGACTGCAGTTATTATTATCATATATGGGTTTTTCCATTGTCGTCATTTTCGACTTTCTTAAGTAATGCTTTTCATCAAATCTATAACAAATGGATAAATATCGAATCAGAAAACATGCCTGCCTACTTTATCACGGGCATGATAGAACATAAATCAAAAATGAGAATTACGAAAAGCAATGCTTTCCCGTTTTCGGTATCCGTCATATTTTGATAATTGTTACGCACGTTACCGTCATCAGTTTAATACTAGTGATTGTATTTATCGGTATGTTAAATCACAACATATTTTACGTGAATGCTTCTAAAGTATATGCGCAAACGTCATGTACAACGTACAGCATGCTGGGAATAGATTTGATAAGACTTTAAAGAAACCGACAAAGCGGGTGTCCAATAATGAACAATTTAGGTATAGATGGCTGTCACGTGACATCCACCTTTCCATTTCGAAATATGGTCAAACTTTGATCAGTAAAAATAAAACTGTTAAAATGTTAAATAATTTGTGCAACTAAATGCTCATGCAACACCGAGAAATCTGCACTTATCGTGAAATAATGCCAAAAAAAACCCCTTTATTGCAGACTTGTTCCTGTATTGTGAATCACAGTGTTAGACTTTTCACCTATTCATAACCCGCAAAATCAGCAAAAAAAAAACCAAAAAAACACTTCTTGACGTTGAAAAAAAATCTTAAAAAAGGACGGACACACATAGAAATTTTATCTAGTTTTCTAGTTTGAAATAATTTACGACCTTTCTAGGATAAATCTTACCTCATTATGTAATTCCAAAAACCCAATCTGTTGTATGCAATCCTATATATATATATCGTTGTTTTTATTTATAGTAACAAAACATGATAAAAATTAAGATATGATGACTCACAGTTTCCAGGAAAATTGCGCAACAGTTCTTTCTTCGGGATTTTTTTAACAAAACGACCAGAACGATTTAATAATGAATAGCTACAATGTTTTAACATACCACAAAGACAGGATATAATTTATCACGCAGAAATTTTAAATTTTGATAGTGTCATATTATAATTGTAGAATTCTTAAAAGCATTTGCTTCTATTGAATTGGACTTAATATGTGAATCCCTTCACACATTTATGTATAAAAACTGTTTATGCTAAAATAGATTAGATATTAAGCTAGTGTAAGAAATAATGTGTGAACTTCTTGCCCGCTAAATATTTTTTCAAGGAATTCCATGAGAATTTCCGTTAAGTTCCATATTGTTCGTACATGTAGTAGTTGTTGTAGTTTTAGCAGGTAGAATAAAGAAAGAGAATAATATCAAAGAAGTTAGAATTAAATAAACAAAAACAACAAATATTTAAATTATGACAGTAAATGGTTTCTTTGCCATATTTATTTTATTGATATTACTCCATGGCTTTGTTCTTCATTTCACACACCTGTGTGACGTAATCGGCAGTTTGCAAAGAATTCTGATCAAACCGGTGCTAGGGGCCGTCTTAAACTTGTAGTGAGTTGAGAATCTTTGCTCCGTGTTGAAGGCTTCGTTGTGACTTTGAGCAACACAAGCGCTGTTCCTTTGCCTTGTATGTTTATCGGTGTACATGTAATGATTTTGTGTCTTGAATAGATACCTCATATTATTTCTTTTCTATAATAATCTCAAAATTAACCAAGTAGCAGATGATAAAATATTATGTTTCTCTAAAGTCGAAGTTACTCTTTCGCTTGATCATGTTGATATGATGGAAACATTGCCCTATTCAACTAATGTGTATAGTTGTTTTATGTTGTGTTGTTACACCACTGTCCCAGGTTATGTGTAAGGTTGGGCGCAGGCAAACATGTTTATTCCCGCCACATTCTATATAAGACTGTCCCCAGTCATGAACAGGAGCTTGTAACTGAGTTGTTGTTGCTGCTTATTGTGTTCTTTTATTTTTAATTATTTTGTATAGTTTGTTCTGTGTTGGGTTGTTTCCCCACTGTCCAAGGGGAGGGTTGGGCTTCCCCTAAATAAAGGCAACAGTAGTATACTGCTGTTCGAAATTCATAAATCGATTGAGAAAAAACATATCCGGATTACAAACTAAAACTGAGGGAAACACATCAAATATAAGAGGAAAACAAAGACACAACAGAAACACTAAAATGCAACACACACAGAAACGAACTATAAGATAACAATAGCCATTTTCCTGACTTGGTACAGGACATTTTAAGAAGAAATGGTGGGTTGAACCTAGTTATGTTTAACCCTGCCACATTTAGTATGTGCCAGTCCCAATTCAGGTGCCTGTAATTCAGTGGATGTCGTTGTGTTGCTTTTATACGTCTACGACATTTGGTCTCAGGTGGAAAGCTGTTTCATTGACAATCATGCCACATCTTTGTAATTTTATACAGAATATCTGAAACTCTCTAATTCCCTTCATCAAACCAGTAATGACAAAATTAAGCAGAAAATATAAAAAAACATGCTGTTAACAGGAAATTGTTTTTGACACAACCATTTCCTGTTTAATCTCGAGCAAAAAAATGACAACATGTACATGAAATAACTTAACTCGTTGATTTTGTCATTTTTAAAAATTCAATGAATCATAATCCATATTAGGCCGCGATCAACATTAACTTTAAATTATTCCTTAAAAGTAAGGTTCGCTCACATAAATTCGGCCATTTATTTTGTTTTTCTAGTTTAAAATAATTTAAAAACGTTTTGATATAAATCTTACCTCATAATGTAATAAAACTCAAGTTGTAAACAATCTTATGAATATATATCGTTGTTTAATTTGATAGAAACAAAATGATAAATGATTATGATGAAGATGGATGGCTGTTTAACGTCCATCTGTGAATTAAATACATATTCAGGACGAGAACATGTTAATGTACTATGAATACTAACTTTGCTCGTACTGCACTGATACGCTGAGCCTAATTTTTAAACGTGCTTGTTCACAAGAAAAACAGTCCACAGGAAGACATGTCACCCTACGCGGACACTTTATTCTGAATCTGAGCAAACCAGTCTTTGCTTTTACTCCTTAATGTCGCGTGCGTAGCGAAGAAGCAGCAAATACCAGATTTAAATCTTTGGTTGGTCGGGGTTCGAACCCACGACTTCCTACACTCGATGACAACACGCTACCACGAGACCAACGAGGCGGTAAAATAATAAAGGAGGTGTATGTATGGCAAGCCGTTTTACTATTTATTCGAACTTCAAGATATCTCATATAATACATAAGATATCTTATATAATCTTATATAGTCTAGTTTTATAAAATATCTTATAAACTTTATAAGATATCTCATATACTTTATAAGATATCTTCTAAAGTTTATAAGATATCTTCTAAAGTTTATAAGATATCTTATAAAGTATATGAGATATCTTATGAATATTTTTATATAAGATATCTTATATACTTTATAAGATATCTGATATAATGTATAAGATATCTTATAAAGAAAAATATATGAGATATCTTATAAACTATACAAAATATCTTATAACCTATATGAGATATCTTATAAAGTTTATTAGATATCTTGAAATTAGAATAAATAGTAAAACCGCTTGCCATAGAGGTGTGCAATTAAGATGGATTGACTTCATAAATACTCACATACATACTTTACTTTCTCTTAAAAATCGTATCACTACATTGAAGTTAACTGACATAACCGCAATTAAAGGTACATGTGTCCCTATAACATCCAACATGTTTAAGGCGGCAAAGCAGCAAATAAAAAATAGATGATTTGATGGATTTTAGTAAAATATCTAATTTGAAGATGTACACTAGCGAATATTATCATCTGATAAGATTTACTGCAAAAAGGCGTTTTAACTATCTTTAATTTTATAGGGGATGGCTAAAAACAATATTCAGTATATTTTTGCTTTAAGTAGAGAGACAATATCCTGTTTAAGGGAATTTTCAAGCGTTTATACAAACGACATCTCCTTCGTTTTGTTCATGTTATGAAGCTTCTGTATAAAGTGCAAATCATTTGGTTACAGTGCATAAGAAAGAAAGTTAAACTGAACCCCGAATCTGTATATTATTTTTTTTATATCTCTTTTGTCTTCTTATCTAATATACAAAATAGGTTCGTTTTTCCAATATAAATTTATTTATATCAGCTAAGATAATTCTATAAGTATAACAAAAGAACAAATTATGGGATGTAAATAATTCGAGTCCTACAAAAAGAAAAATGCAATTTTACTTTAACTAAATTAAATTGTTAATTGTTGTTGGGGGAGACACCAAATGATGACAAATGTTTTCCCTTTATACAACGAAGATACAATTCGGGATCATTCATATTAACTAGATATAAGTATGGTGATGATGTATGACAGTTACGCGTCAAGTCATAAAATGCATATACAGGACAAAAACATGTCAATGCGATGTGAATATAAACCCTGATTTGTACTAGACCGAAACGCTGAGCCGGATTTTTAACGTGCTAGTTCACAGGGAAACAGTCATTATGTCACCATACCAGGACACATTATTCTGACTCACAGCCGATCAGTCTTTGTTCTTACTCTATAATGGCACATTCTTATCGGGACGACCTCCCGCGTTCGGGACGATTAGATATAAGGAATGGCGCACTGTATTTAAAGATGTCTAACAGGACGATATAATATTAAAATATATGGCTGTTTGACATCGAGTACCAGAATGATACAACATAATTGTTCACCAATGGTTGGCCCATACTGAAATAACCGACATACAAAAAGTGACCCATTCCAGCAGCTTGGTTTTTTCACATTGCACAAGTGGGTTGTAAAAAAAAATAACAACAAAAACTACGCATATCAAAGTTCTAGGTCACCCACGAGATACGTTAAACCTTTGATAGCACTGAAGAAGCCCATTAAAAAATTAAATCTTAAATTATTTGAGGTTCTAATACTTGCTTTTAAATAACAATATACATCAAGTGTATTCGGTCTTTTCGCTATTAATATAGATTGTATATAAATTTATGTTATTTTCACAACAAGAACATTAGGATAACCATAAAAATCATAACAAACCCCTTCCCCTTGAACATGAATTAGAATTATATTGTTTTATTAATCTTTCCAACGTTCTACTTCTATGGGAAATTTATGATTAGTGGTTCCTTGTTGTAAAGGTGTGTATCTGTTTGTATCCTCTAACATCCTCGACGGTGGAGTGGTAAGTAGCGTTGACAGACTATGGATGCAGTGATCTGTACACTTGTGAAAATATATAAAGTTTTCTAATAACATTAACGGCACCATATGTTTCGCACTAGACTCACATTTGGTATCTTCTGTTTATGTATGTATACATGAACATTTATATGGTCCGGACCATATGAGTATTTGGACCATACGCTGTTGCTCCGATTCATACGATCCTACTTTTATATGCCCATCAACTCTCGTAGTCGAGTACAAACACATTATATTTTATTGTGTATACATATACAATCTTTCAAATTTCTCATCCATCCAACCGCCCGTTAGTCAGTCTGCCCGTCCATCCGTTCGTATCAGGTTAACAATGTGGTTTGAGGTAGGTCAGACTTTAGGTTAAGAGCGGGTAAAATTTTTGTTAAAGGGTAGTTTGTGGTCACAAAAACTTGAATCTTAGTGTACATGTTTATTATCAAATGAACTGTGTAATTAATACGCAAAATATAGTATAGAAAATGAATTTGTTATAATTTAGACATAAGCAAGAGAAGATACAGATCTGGATACACATTTATAGGAAATGTTACTGTGTTACAAAAACTTGTATGAAAGTATGAAGGTTATTAGTACTGTTGTGACTTATACGTCCAGTATAATTTGTTAGTTAAGAATATCTTTTAGTACTAATCTTTACATAACATTCTCAGACATTTCCCCACATGTATTCAAACTGTCGTTTTGAATTATCGACGTGTAATTTGATTACATGATGAGACAAAAACGACATAAAATTGTGAGAATCTGAAGTACTTTAATACACGAATCTGTTATTCTATACGGCTTTTTATAATTAATCTTCAATGACTTTATGAAAATTGTTCAGGTGTATAATACACATTTTTCAAATAAATCACTGAACAAATTTTCTCTCAGACTCAAATGTATTATAAGTTGTACTCGGGTATACATTAATATTTGTTCCAAGCCAAGAAAACGATGCTAAATCCTTCAATTTATTTGATAAGTTTTCGTCTATGGCGAACCCATTTTTTTCCATTACATGTATGATAATATTCTAAAGGTTTGTTATTAACATGTTGTAGACCACCTTGTCCTGGTATAACCCAGCTCAAAAATAATTCCTTCTTTTGCATGTCGAAAGATATTATCTAAATATACTAACTCAAACTCCTGTAGGATATGTTCTGCCACGAGCACTTCTAAAGAAATAATCCAATCATATATAGGAATTTCGAACTGTCAGAAGTATTGTTAAATCAAGAATCTTAACACTGCCGTTACTGTTTGCCTCTGAATACGGTGCACCGTCGTCCATCGTACAACTGAACTTGTTGTAGCTTCATGATTTCACGTTTGAATGTTCCGGGACCATCACCGAAACTTCCCACAGTTTTGTCTTTGAGACAAAATGACAGGTGAGGAATAAATGTGTTGACTGCAAGATGTTGACCGCTGTTTTCCGTGCTAGCGTTTTTGCATCACCCTCCATATTTATTTGCAATTTTTTTTCTGTCTGAAATCTGAAATAAAAAAAACAGCAATAGTTTTGCAATCAGTATAAATTTTGTTTTCCTCTAATCATTTTATAAACAATCATGAAAATTCAGTCCAATATGTAAATACTCATTTATCATTATGTAGTCTTTGCAGTTATCGCGTGGCGGCAACGGGCGATTACTAAAAACGATGTGGTATGAATGCCAAGCAAAACTCATCAATGATACTGTCACATTGGACAATTGACAAAATTTGATTTTGAAACTTTTCGGACATTTGTAACATTGTTTTGTAAAATCATTGTTTTTTCTTGTATAGGAAATATTTCTCAGGGATTTTGTTCATTTGTATTGTGAAGTTTAAATGAAGTTTGTAAGATTAAGCTAATCTAATTTCACGCTTCAATTTGTTATACAATTAGAGACATATAGAGGTTTAAAACCACAAATTCAACAAATTGTGGTGCCTCAAAACCCTGTATCCATGTCAGATTTGCTTATCAAATCAACTACAGCTGAGATGACAGTTAACATGGTACAACCTCAACAATCTCACGTTGAAAACTCAAATTTAAAAGCAGTTTCTTCAATTGAAGATAAAATCATGAATAAAATTTCACAGCGATTGGACTCTATAGCCGCAATTAGTTCTAACCAACAAAAATCTGATAATGTGCCTTACAATTCTAGAAATAATGCTAATAATTATGAATATTCACAATCTTTTCAGGTGCCTACAATACTTATAATGACCGTCAGCCAATAATGCTAGTACAAAGACAAAGACCAGTAAAACAAAACGGTCCACTTGGATCCTGTATTGGCAGTGGTAAGTCATTTAAATCAAGGTCAATCTGTCCCGCTTACAAAAAGTCATGTCATAAATGTGGTAAACAAGGTCATTTTGGTTATGTTTGTAAGAGTAAGGGAAACCAAAATGTGTCACAAGGGAATAGACTATGGGGATTCGAGCCTTCCTTTAGGCAGCAGTCTACGGGTAGGCACAAGGATGATAAAAATCAATGTCACGAAAATGACAAACAAGCT